AATGTATACAACACATTCGGTCTCCTCGCAGGAACAAAGAAGGAGGGAACAAAGTTCGGGAGGCGCGATAAAACGAACAACAGGAGGCCTAATGCTAAAGTTGGTAACGTGGGCGTTTCGTCTTCCATCTAGACTCGCAATTTGTTTACGACTGTAGGTAGGATCTATTTTTAAATTCCCACGATCAGTGCAAATTACACTCGCGTGCACTTTATAATTCTGCTGCCGCGACGATTTCCCGATTTTACGAACGGTACGCTAAGAGAAAGCGTCGATAGGAGAAAGAGAAGGAAAAGCGACACTTATTTAACCTGATTCTAAATATTATTCGAATTGAACTAACAGAGATATAACATAGTATGTGTACACTACGTGCGACAACGAAGTATGCAAATATCTCAAAAGCGCAAATAGAATAAAACGCAATACATAGGGGAATGTACGAGCGATACGTCGTAAGAATAGATTATTCTGATAGGCAAGATGAAGAAAATAACACTGAAAGAAAAAATATCAAAAAATTAATAAATCAACTATTTATTCAATGAATAGTGATAACATATAAATCTAAATTCCTTTACTTAAATAGAATAATAAATTGCTTTTTCCACAAGGTTTTAGAAAAGGATATACACTCGAAAGTTTTTTCGTGTAAAAATATGCATATATAAAAAAATACATATCTGGGCATAAATATGTTAAATAAGCATTTCTTCATTTCTTAAATATTCTTCTCTCAGTGTTGTAGGAATGAGAGAAATGTCTTAAACGCACGAGACGAGGAGCAATATACCGCGACATTATTAGCGTCTAAACACGAACTCAAGCAACACTTTTGGTTCCGTAGCTGTTACCTGCTCTAAATTTAGTGCATCTTGCTGTATACAGGGCGTGGAATATACGTTCCCCGGTGATTCTCGGGGAAAAGCGCGCAAATTCCCCGCATAATTCTCCCTCTCTCACCCTACGATAATGCGATTAATTTCGGCTCCGTTCTATTTTCGGAGTCTTATCGCGCGTGTTAACCTCCTTTCCCGATCTTCTTCCCGGTGTCTTTTGTGCTCCCGATAATTGTACTTCGCCTGTAGGAAGGTCTATCTAATCTAATAATTGAACATGTTCCCACATTCATGCAAAAAAGCGATGATCATTCCAAACGACTGGTCGGTCTGTTTTCGTGGAAATGTCCCGACACAAAAGGAATCATTCGTATCGTCGGGAGTTTCGCCGAATTCCTCGTTTCCCTTCGATTCGTTGTGGTGCGAAGCATCCTCACGGCCGAGTACACACCTCTCTTCCGAAATCCCGAGGTATATTCCTGAGGATAAACTTGTGTATGCGATATATATGTAGTGCGGCTCGCGAAGGTCGTACAACAACCGTGCAACCTCAGCGGTCATTGTAGAAGAGGTCGTTTACTTCGCAAAGTAAACAAAGCTCCACGAATCTGATCTGGTGGGTGCGAGCCATCCACTTCTTTATTCGCTACACCCGATATAGCCGCGTGCTAATCGTCGCGTTTGCTCGAATCGTATATATATTCACTTGAAAATATACTGTACAAACTTAACACCGCCGCGTGTTCTTTATCAGTTTATGATAACGTATTGCAATAAATTTGGAAATTAACAGTATTGTTGAGCTAAAAAATAGACGTGGGATGTCCTTGGTCTAGAGATAATTATGTTATATCCTAAAAATGTCAATTGGGGACATATTCTAACACCCTGAGTAAGATTTTCTTCTCAGACCCTGGTAGCGAACGTGTTGAGATATATTTCTAATATAAATTGAAGTAGAAAATTTTCTATAAACATTACGTTTGTACAGCATGTCATGTAATACTCCGTATATATATAGCCGCGTACAAACCGAAAACGCGACTTTCGATTGCTACTCTTTCCACTACAATGTGGCGTCTCCTTTTTGACATCGCTGTTCCCATATCCTTCGAGAAAGCGGAGGATCACACTTCGTTCGTAAAGCGCCTTTCGATCGATACGTGCTCCCCCTCCCCCCTCTGTCATTTGACGTCATCCTCTTTTTATTCTAATTTATTAAAATCGACGTTAAGGTCGCGCACGCGTCGAACCTTTGATACGTTGATGCACATCCGAGAGATGTGCGAGAATTTGTGGAAAAAAAACCAAGAAATAGGCACAGGAAAAAGAAGGAAGGAAGAACGTTATTGGATTCCGAAGAGCAATAAGTTATATAAGCAGGAAGTACAATTTAACATGACCGGAATAAATTAACTTATTTCGTTCTTCTGTTTCTACATAAGAACAGTGAAGTAATTTATTCAATAACTTTTTTTATCTATGATAAAGGTAGATTCCGACTTGGATCTTGTTACTGAAATATAGTTTGGACTTTTACCTTTTAGAAAATAATTTTACTTAGCCTATGGAAAATAGCTTTGCAAACCAAACCTTTTTAATTAATCAATTAAAACTAGTAAAAAATGAAAAATTGGAAAAACAATGGTGAGATATTGTTACTAAAAGTTCAAATCGTCGAAAATAGCGATTTCCGTTGTATGATTCACCAGGTTATCACACAAAGTAAATGACTATTTCCCAGGGAAACAGCTAGTCGGGGAATTCTGATTTTAGATTTGTTGAGTTTCTCAATTATCCTAAAACGGTACGAAAGATTGAATTTTGCCGAAAAAAAATTAAGAACTTTCTATTATTCCTGATGACACGTTCGCTCGCGCGGTTTGCTGCTGCAAAGGGGCGACGTGACCGGAACAATAATTCGTCAACAATTAACGGAGCGTTGCTCATTATTCTGCACTGAAATCTATGTGTGCACTTAATCTTCCCGCGTGGAAGAGTTTTGCACCTCGATCGCAAGTAGTGGTTAATCTGTGGATAGAGAAATCTTTTTATAACGCGTATTTATACCTATAAGTAGTCAAGCGAAACTCTCTTATTCTTATCAGTTTCTACTTGAGCTGTGAACATATAAGCGGAATTTTCTTAATGCCTGCTACTTGTGGGTAAGATATTGCTGGATCATTAATTTAAGAAATAAAAGCTTTCTCCGTAGACTTTCAAATGCGTTTTTCATTTTGAAATATAATTATCTACTCATTTTGGAAAATGCTTTACTACTTATGGAGACTCTTGATACATCACACACGTGTTTCGCAAGAAAAGCGGCGAGCAGTCTCCTGCGATAAAATACCTATTTGGATGTTGTTTCGAGAACAAAACCCGCACCGATAAGTAATCGGGAAACGCGGCGCGTCATCATTGTTGCTCACGCGGCATGACTCAAAGACGCTCGGTGGTTGACGATTCATTTTAGTTCGAAGTCTCGACCTAGCATGGACAATTACGCGCTCAGTCTTTTCTCTTTCGAGCTGTAATTTGCCTGAGAGACAAATTTAGCAACTCGCCGATGTGTATTCTCACACGTTTGCTCATATGTATCACGTGTAGAAATATAAGTGTGAAAAGAATTAACACAGAATTTACTCGAAACAACATGTTAATTGCTGGTAAATTTGACGCTGCATTGATATGACGAACAATCTATCATATCGTTATTGCATGTATAACTTTTAACTCGATATAATTTATTTACTCCATAAATTTAATGAAAAGGTTTTTAAGTTTTTCATCATCGTGAGATGAAAATTTGGAAGAGGTACCTTTGTAGATTTGTCGCTGCATAGCAAAAAATGGTACGATTTCATTGTACAATGTTAATTCAATACATTGTATATATTTGTTCCGCAAATATAATGATAAAATTTCCACGATCTATTGTCTCACGTCACGTCACGAATTTATCTGGATTGACGGCGATCAAAGGTCGCCGGTTTTACGAGCGAAGTAGGAATACGAAATTTGTACACGACCGTCCTCGACGTATCTTGTCGCAGCTGTGAAAATTTTACGCCCACACTACATCCGCATTGTTAGCCTGAACAGTAAAAGAATAGGGTTAAAGCCCGATTAAGCCCGAGATCGAAAGATGGTGGGAAGGAGCTGTGCTCCTGGAGAAATAATTTTTCGCCCGGTCGTGTGAACGAATGGGCTGTTTATTCGTAGCCACACGCTACGCAATAACTACGAATAAACAGAATAGATGCCACTTGCAACGCTCGAGTATCCCACGTTGAAACGTGATACGTTCTCTCCCGTTCGCTCTCTCCTTCCGCGCAATAGTTAACCGACCGTTTCGATAAATCTACCTAAAATCCCTTCAACTTCTTATTGATTCGTCTAGTTCGCTATTTGATAAAACAAAAAGTGACGGAACTGAGGATTATTAAATATTTGTAACTAAAAATTAAATTGACAAATAATAGCAAAACTTAATTTTTAAGAAATTAAATTTTTACCAATAATATCATATACAGGTGGACCCTAAGGAGGAAAGGTCAATAATATTCTGAGGGAGATGACAGTATCGGTTATTTTAAGGAAAAATGTCGTGTGTTTCAGAGGTGACTGTATTATAAAGTTTTCTTGAATTAATAACTAAAGAAAATTTGGCCTACACGCGGAAAAAAATCTCGGTTCAGATGAAAACTCGATGACGAGAAATTTTACCGCGACTGGGAACATTTGGCTGAGCAGCAACTGAAACAGCAACTGATTTCGCAGAACCTCCTACAGGAATTTGCACAACCGAGTTTTCCGTCTAGTTAAGCAAAATTTTCGTTACACTTTTTTCGACTCACGCGGTTTAACAATGTGTTGAGAATTCTCCTGAGAATAGTGTGACGTTGGCCAAACATCCGTTAAGCGAGAAAAACAAAGCACTGCGTCGACACGTGAGTTTGTTTCTCCTCAGCGCGCGGTACACAGATGTGTTCCCGTGGCGGGAGAGGTGCGAATTAAACGACGAACTCGCGTGCGTGTCGTCGGGAACACCTTATGGGTTGCGCGCTTCGTAGTACTAGAAAGCGCGTACGGGGGCGTCCCGAGCGCGTGTGCCCCTTCCGTTACCACCTGCCGTTTCCCTCGCACTATCACCTCACTTCGGCTCAGACTACCGCGACGCTCGTTTGTGTGTGCACGCAGCCGCTCATGCCGGATGATTTTTCCGCATGCGAAATTTGTGGTGGGGAGAGAGAGGACGTAAGAAGATGACTGTCGATAAAAAGCGAAGTGTTTTTCGCGCCGAAAATTAACAAAATCCATTTCGCGACGAGTGTGTGCATATTTCAAAGCGCTTCTCCTAATTCAGTCAGATTCGATATCGATGAAAATCCGCCGGACATTCGAGAACGCAACCTATTTCGGTACGGCCCTATATGCGCGTCTAATAACTTTTTCTCGATCGAGACGGCTGACCCAATTCGTGTTGTAATCTATATTTGCCTCAAATAAAGACATTCTCTTTAACGAAACTCCGCTCTCTTCTTCTGTACCGAGATTTCGTTCCCAGTAATTATTGTCGCGAAAGTTGGTATTTAACGCTTATTCTCGAACACAAGCTGGGAGAAGTGTCTCTGTGATATCGATTCCAAATTGGCCGTTGAAATTAAGGTTTGCAAACCAACCGTGTGTTACGCGCAGGGGTCGTCGGAGGAATTTGTGACATGTCAGTCGACCATACGATGCTCTAACCTTTCACCGAGAGCGTACATATACCCGAATTTTGATGAATCCAGAATAATTATTCCACTTGGAATAACGCAAATAAAACTGATCGAATAATATCCCATCTTCAAAGACAGTTCGGAAGCGTGAGAAATTGTTCAAATGGAAATTTCCGCTATTGAAAATTCACGACTTCAATTGAGAGTCTATGGGGTTCACCGGCGAAATCGAAAAGAGAAAGTCTAGAAAGAAAGAGTCTCTTCTTCTCATCGAAGAATTCGTAAACAAGAGAAACACACCTTGTATACCGAGCGCGCGGTTTTAGTTTGCGCGATGGCCACGGCGATGCGCTGTGTTCGCGACGTCGCGTCGCCGCTTACACGTCCGCCCAAAAGGCAGAGCGCCTGGGCCGATCGCCATCATGAAAACATTCGCCCGTCGTTATCGTTGTTTCTCCTCCGTCCTTGCGGGCTCTTTCGACCGAAGGACGTAATATCGAACGTACGGGCTGGAAGCCGAGAGAGCGCACGCAGCTTTCGCGAACACGGTGGGTCGCCGCTGGAACGGCGACGACGACGTTGCCGGAGGTCGCGCCGCGTTCGTTCGCGCCGCGAGAGGATTGTTAAACGAACACGTCGGGAGAAAGAGGAGACGGTTTCGGGGTTTGTGTGTTCGTCGCGATAAGGATACGAGACGGCTGCCACACTTAAATGCCTCGCACAAATTCCTACTCCATGTTGTGCATCGGTTGCGACACGGCTGCGTGTTGGAAAGTAAGTATATATTCTCGCGCGTGCGATCACGCCTCTCTCTTTCTCTCGTCGGTATATATCGCGGCGGCAGGAAAAAAAAATCAGATCGCCAAGATGACGTAGAGAAAATTCCTAGGAATTATTTCTCTCTTCCTCACGCTCTCTCGCTCTCTCCCACGGATTCTCTCCCCCTCTCTCGGTAAAGCACTGTACCCCATTTTTTCCGCTTGTGCGTGTCATTCGCTTGAAATTTCGGTTATCGTCGAGTGCGTGCACGAGGAAGGTACGCTTCTCCGACAAGATTTGACCTTGCACGGCGCAGAAAACGCGATAAATAATTGACGTTTTTCCTGCGATTACGTGATGCCTCGGGAGATCCGCCAGTTATTTTTCCCTAAACGCGCCCGCCGAGAGATTGCCGCACTATCGCGCTCCAGCTCTGCTCTGTAACGTGAGCTCTTATTTACGCAATTCTGCCGTATTTCAATCGTTTTCGACATTGGTAGAAGGATTACATCTCTTTCGAATCACTGTGCAGCGATCTGATATTCTACGAGGAACCATACGTTCGGTGTGAAAAGCAACTTGTTGTAACGGTTCCCTAGAGAACAAATTCCTTCTTAATTCTGTTGTTTACTCGTGACAGGTGAGTACATGGTGACACGCGGTTGTAGAGGAGCAACTGGGAAGAGAGCCGTGGCAAAAGACACCTAGTTATCCTGCACCAAGCTGACTGCGATTTCCCACTGTTTCTCAAGACAGTGACAGCAAGGAGGATATTAAGGGGAGTCTACTTGTTTTGCGAAGAACGAGAGACAAACAAGAACTATGGAACGAGAGTCCAATCCTATGCAAGCCCTATGCCGCAGCGGCTGCGGATTCTACGGCTCGCCGGCTACCGATGGCCTTTGTTCTCTTTGCTACAAGGAAAATTTGAAGAAGAAACAGCAACCACCGGTATCAGCGGCTACTGTACCAACCTCACAGACTGTCTCCAGCAACGCTGGCACGTTGCAGGGTAGTTTTGGTAGTCCAGCAGCTACTGGAACAACAGCCCAACCTACCATTCCTACCATACCTCAGCCAACAACAGATCTGCCCAGTCCCAAAGAAGTAAGTGCTGTTGCGTCTTTTCTAGTTGGTTGTCCTGCATAAATGTAACGTCTTTGTTCTTTCGATTAATTTGCAGAAGGTAGCACTTATAAGCTGTCCTGAATCCACAAGGTCGTATACATCAAATTGTTTTTAGTCTAAGATGTATATTTTTCGAAACAGCAAGGAAAGAATATTAGATTCGATCTTAAAGTCAATCTTTCTTCTTGTTTGCCGATGCAATATATATTTTCGAGTATTGCTGTTTTGTCCTGATGGAATTGTTGGGTATCGTTGTGTGTGTTTGAAATTTCATTATCAAGGAAACTGTTATTTCTTTTTAGAGAAAAACATTCGTTATCTATCTAAATTAAATCATAATAATTCACCTATATATTGGATTTATTCCAGCCTGATTATATGGCAGAAATTGATTATGTAATTATCAACAATTACATACATAATTATAAAAGAAAGGATTTTTCATCACGTGATACTACAGACGGCAGTAGATTTACACAAATAATCTGAAAGAAGAAATTGGTTACATTTTATGTAAAACGCGAAAATTCCCGACTTATTTTATATCTATGTGTAATTTTAGGTTTCCATATTTCACACATGTGCACTACAGATATAATACAGATTACATTTTTATGTACACAGAAATATTTTACAGTCTATCTAACAACTATTTATATAAACCTATTTGACAAAGTCGTACATGGAACAAATATTTGTTTATTTAATAAAAAGATGAAAATATCATTCTTTCCACACATATTAAATCTAAATTAAAATATCTCAGAGGAGACTGTCAGGAGGGAATGACATATCAGTGATAAATAATTATAATGTGTGCGTATTATCCTTCTGTCAATCAGGTAAGCAGGGAAGATCAGGAAAGTGAAGTAGGTGTAAGCAGTGCAGCAGCTGAAGGATCAGTGAGTAATTGCGAGGCGGATGACTCCTTCGATGGCAAAGAGACTGATAAAGAATCTAAGAAGAAGAAAAATCGTTGTGCCGTATGTCGCAAAAAAGTCGGTTTGACCGGTAAGCATACATGTTAACGTGTGCATGTATAATGCGCAAAAGTCTGTTTTCTTCATCTGCTGGTGATCCTTTCAGGATTCGAGTGTCGTTGTGGCGGACTATTCTGCGCTGTGCATCGATACAGTGACAAGCACGACTGCAAATTTGATTACAAAGAAATGGGCGCTCAAGAGATTCGGCGCAACAATCCAGTTGTTGTTGGTGAAAAAGTGCAAAAAATTTGAACTATTTAGTGTGTAGTCGTTGGGAAAATGGTTATATAACTATATAAACAAACAGAATATAAAACACGGAGAAAAACGAGATAAATTATCTGGCAGCTGATTCGCACGTCAAGGGGTGAAACGAGCGAACGAGAGAGAGAGAGAGAGAAAGAGAGAACGAGAGTGAGTGAGAAAGAGCGAGTGTTAAATGAATGTAGAATGAGAATGAACGCGCGAGATCGAAAACAAAATTGTTTTGTAGCTGAGAAAAGTTAGAAAAAAGAAGATGAAGCAAATATCAGACAGAACAAAATAAACGAAAAGTCGCAAATTTCGAATGCGTGTGCTTGAGTGAATGGTTCTTAATTGGATGCCAGTGCCATGTAAGTTTCAGATTGTCATCTAGTAAGAGTTTTAATTGAGAATATACCTGGTTACTAACTGCTGCCAGCTTACTACTATTATTACCTATTATTATATCTTCTGATTATTACGGTTTACAATTATTCTATATTATGTTTATTAATTTACTTAAAAAGCGAAATTCGCATATAAGGCTCGTTTTGCGTAAAGGCAGAATTCTTGGTGCGGTCAGTCAGTCCAGGACATCTCATTAGGAGTTTTGGTTTGTTCGAGAAATTTTATACATTTGCTGTTTTGTTTATATATCAGAGAGAGAGAGAGAGAGAGAGAGAGAGAGAGAGAAAGAGAGAGAAAAATATGAAAAATGAGGAGTGTTACTTAGGTAAAATGGCTGACGTTGATGGGTGATCACAATCCTAGGTTTATAATTAGTCTAATAATTATTAAGTACATATTAGTCTATTGATTCATAAATAATGCAATGAAGTATAAGTAGTACTGTGTGTTTATGTCCAACTTCACGTGAATATAACCACCAATTATTACTCATTAAATATGTTTCAACCTATATTGCAAATAATTATTTACACTACGGCCGCTGGTCTGCGATTTGTAAATTAAATCCCTCTGTAACGTATATACTTGGAGGTCTCTTAGAATGTAAACGAATTGTTAATGTTTGAAGTCGTCATTTAGTTTACTCGTTTTTTCTTTTCTTTTTTTTTCCTTTGCTTGTTTTTCTGTGAGTTTCGAGTAGGATAGCTGCGCGAGGTATTCCGGTGCTGCATCGCAGCGCATAATATAAGAGTAAACGATTGATAAAACGTCTAGAGAGGCCGCGGGCATTACATGAAACGGAGAACTATTGACGTTTGTAAAGCGTTGAACGTATACTAAACTGTGCGAGCGAAGGTGGATATTACATTGATAAATTTTATAAGCCACGTAATAACATCTCTGACCGTTTCTTCTCTCCGCGCTTTAAAACCCGTGCCGAACTTTGTTGGTTTTTTTTCTTTTCCTTTTCGTTTAACTCGCTCTCGTAAGTAGCTGTATACATGTTTGTAAAGTTGTAGCATGCCGGAAAGGTGCTATGGCTGTCCAGCTTTGTTATATTTCTGTAATACCAAGCGAAATAATGGAGACGAGACGAACCGCAAATTATGCTCCGCATGTAGGTCAATTTCGTGAGAGCTTCAATTTGCATTCGACTTTGAAGCAAATGAAAATAATATAAAAAAAGATATATATACAAATATATTATATATATAACACACACACATATATATATGTGTATGTATATATATATATATATATATATATATATATATATGTTATATATATATATATATATATATATTACGGCTCGTCGATTTGACGTGAAGTAAACGAAACAATAAAGTTTTTTCTTTATCGTATCCTGTGGGGACAAGGCACCTATTTATCCGAATGCCGTGCTGCCGTTCTTTTATTCCTTATTTTGTAATTAGAACTTATTCTTGTATAAAGTAAACTTACTCTCGTTATTCGCTTATAAGGTTTATTTTCTCTTCCCGTCGCATTCGAAGAATGTACAGCGAATGAATTTTTTTATTTTCGAGAAATATATAGAGTTTTCTGTTAAAAAAAAAAAAAAGGAAATTGCAATCGAAAGGTCTATCAAGCCGTCTATTTTCTTTCTGCGAGATGGAACGAACGCGAACACTGTATCAGTTCCTGCCGTTACCAAATGTCTCTCGCGTGTATATCGCTGCCGAAAGCGCTTTAGATGAAAGAAACACGGTTTTTCCCTTGGACGGGATGTAGCGTCGAGACCGATTTTTCAGAAAATTTTGCGACCCTCAACGATATCTAGCAGTTAAGGCCGTCGAAAAAAAGAAGAAACGCCCCAATCTTATCTTTCGACACAGTAATTCAAATTCATTTGCGGGACGACGACTTGTGGCACTGATTTCGTAGACAATATATACCTTATCTCGTATCACACATCGTTTTCGTCGACGAGTCCGTCGGTCTTCGTTTTTTCTCCTTTTTTTTTCCTTTCTAACTGTCATCTTTAGGGACGCTGACGTTGAGAGAAATCGGAATCGTATAAAAAATAAAGAGACGCGCAACATGACACACACACGTACGCACACTCAACACACGTACACGCCGTACGTATACATGAGACACACACAATACATACACACCGATTATCAGTAATATCGACGGAATGGTTGCCTTCAGGCCTTCATCCTATTTTAGGCATAGCATATTTTTCTAACATATATCGCAATATCGGAATAATCTTGCCTAGCGAGAGCGATCGAATGATAGAAAGAGAGAAAGGAAGAGAAAGAGGGAGAATGATTGGAGGAATATATATCGGAGAATAGATGCTTGTGAGTGAGATAGAGGAATGTATGCAGGAATTAAAATGATTTATTGAGATGAAAGAGAGAGAATGTGCGCAAAAGAGAGAGAAAGATTGAGAGCGAAAGAAAAGAAAAAAAAGAGGGAGAGAGAGAAAAAAAGAGGATTATCAGCGACGATCGTACTCGGTTGACTATATAAGGACGTAACGATGCTTGTAATTATTACGATTGATATTAGTACATTTAAGCTATTAAAAAGTAACATCAACTTTAATATATTATATATGATTACAATTACCATCCTTTGAAATGCTTTAGACATTTAGGTTTTACGTACGTAAAAGAAAAGTTAGTGTATTCCCACACACGGGGATCCCTCCTCTTCCTCTATTCACCTTCCTCGTCTTTCTCTTCCTAATCGTTCTTCTCTTCCCAACCCTCACGGACCTTTTAACAGCTCTTATAAAACGTTTATAATTATCTAATATAGTGGACTATATTTATGTATATTTAAAAACAAATATATATAAATGCATCGACCCCTAAAACGCGAAAGCCGGCAATCCGTGTGTTCTTGACTTTATATAGAAAAGACTATCAGCACCTTTCTTCTACGAGTTATACTGTAGCCACTTGTACAAAATATCTTCCGGACGTACGTAAAACGAGGTGCGACTTTATTTTCTCTGTAATGAAAAATTTCTGCTACAATAAACGGTTTATCTTTTATCACGCTGGATATTTGGATGTGACACGACTGAAATTCACACGCCTATGTTACATACATCTTTTTCGAGAATTGTGTGACGCGAGTCTAAATTGTTCATCATTTGCGCGCGATATTTTCTTATCGATTTTAATAATTTCATGTATAAATGTTGATTTTTTTCTCATTTTACTGAATTCTGAATATATTTAATTATCTCGAATGCTCTACCTTAATTTTCGATGATAAAATCCTAGTAAACACTAACCAACAGTAACATAATATCAATGTTATAATTTTCCACTCAACAACGTATTATATCGTGTGTGTTATGTAACAATTCGAAATTATAATATTAATGATACGTTACTAATAACTGGTGTTTACCGGGATGCATTTCATGTTAGAAAATGGAGATAAAAATCTATACGATATATTACTTTGATATGCTAATAAAAATTCGGACGGCCTGTCATTGAGTTGTATTACTTGTGAAAATGCGACAAAAATTAATCGCTTCTTTTGATCACGAAAAACAGAACAAAGTGCAATGGGTTGTTCAACTCTAGTAAAAATCATAACAATAGCATAGCATTGAGAAAAAGCACTGTACAGCTTCTAATTTTCAGATGTATTTTTGGATATTTGTTTTATACAAATCGAAACCCGTCCAACATCAGAAATTACACGAGATTTATTAAGTTACATCACGAAATCTACACATAAGAATAAAGTTCATATCATTTGAAAGCATGGGATCATCCTCCATGTTGTAGCTAGCCGATTAAAGGTGCGTTCGGGGAGAAACTATTAGCGCGTGATAAAGGGATGTAGAAGAGGAAATTAATGCACACAACGAAAGATCAAATCAATTCGCTTCTTATCGCGTACTAGAGGGAGAAGCCATTACAACCGAAAACACATTTTCTCATATCTAGTACTTTCCATTCTTCGCGACATTGTAGAATGCCCTATTCTATTTCTAGGGACTTCGGGGTGTAACCGAGTTGAGCGATACATATGAGTTAGCTGGACTCAAATTTAGTGGACTTTGCACTGATTGGTCAATTCAATCTCCAATCCATAGTCTGATCTGTTCTTTTTAGCTAAAACTGGTGCAATATATTTTAGCAGTGCGGCTAAAAAACACCAATTGTATCGCCCGAAAGTTTGTGCGCGAGTCTTTACAGGTGCATCTGTGAAGTTTTCGAACGCAGCCTAAGGCTGCGACATTCGGATCTTGAGGCTGTTTTTAATTCATCCTGAGATGTTTCGTAGCCGTACAACATCTGAAGGTAAATTTACGACGGTCTTCTATATAGAATATCATTCTACTATGAACACAGGCCTTATATCGGATTCTCCATAGGTGCGTTCCACTTAACGCTCGCGGGCATCATTGTATCCTCGTTGAATGTTAAACAAACGTTAAGTGGAACTGCATCATCCGTACGTATGGTTAGGTATTGCTGTGTGATCCGATTGTTGTAAACAACAAATAGAATTTTTTTTTTTTATGTCAGAACGAAGGAGAGGCGAATATATTTGAAAGAAGTGAGCACATACAACAATATTGGCGAAAATGTCGATTGGCGTACCCATCAAAGTACTTCACGAGGCCGAGGGTCACATTATAACCTGCGAGACGAACACCGGCGAGGTGTATCGCGGCAAACTGATCGAGGCTGAGGACAACATGAACTGTCAGATGCAAAACATAACGGTAACTTATCGGGACGGCCGAGCTGCTCAACTGGAGAACGTGTACATACGCGGCTCGAAAATACGATTTCTCATATTGCCGGACATGTTGAAGAACGCGCCTATGTTCAAACGACCGGGTGGTAAAGGCTCCGGCACTGCTGGCAGAGGAAAGTCCGCTATATTGCGTGCTCAAGGTTCGTTCGCTAAATCGTAAAAGCCAGCATTTGCATCAATAGACTTTTATTCAAGCCTGACCAAACTGAACAATTGACGAGTTACTTTTGAAACCGTTTTAAAGATAGCGTAATTTTTACAACTGACTGTTGCAGCTCGTGGCAGAGGAAGAGGACAGAATCAAAGAGGCAAAGGCACTGGCTCAGCACCGTGGCTTAATCAACAAGGTCAACCTGGTGGGTCTCAGGCTGGAAGAGGCAGAAATTGAGCTTAATAATCATAAAATGTACATATATTTCTAACATTAAATACAATTGCAATTTTATTTAAACGTTTAAAACTAGCTGTAAAATATATTTTAATATGCACAGAAACGACCAATTGTATCACCGACACAGAGTAGCTGTTTATGTGGTTATTGTTTTATCCATCAGTAAGTTTCTGTACTTGCTAACGTATATAATAAGACTCTAAATTATGATAAAAGTATTCTTTTATAGTATAACGAAAATATATTCTTTTAACAAAATATATTTAAATGTGTCTTATTAATAGGTTTACGGCTATTGTAGACAGGCCTTTAAACGTAACGGTAGCCTAGTATTACATGTATCGTACGATGCCAATTGTATATTCAGATGATATTTACTTCAGTGATATCCTTTGAACATTATCAGAATCTACCTATTAGGGTTTGTTGTAACAATATTTTATAATACGAAATATTCTAACCAAGATCACGTTTTATTGCACAACAGCCATATAATATAGTCATATATGATTGAATAATATCATAGTGTATTTAATATATCGTGTATTGAATAATATCATAGGTAATTACTATAATATAGGATTAACTATAATTTGCATAATTGAAGAAGCTATAAAAAATATGGTTAAAAGTAATTTATAAATTACAGAATAACTTTGTCTCAATATACGTTTTTTTCCGACGAGTTGTTATTCATAGAACGAAAAAAATCTTTTGGACGGAAAAGCGAGAATACAGTCGGTAATGTCCTCCTCGGCCCTGTTAATAAATACGACATATATATATTAATATAGAATTTTATCCATATAATTAATAATTTTATTATTAACTATTTTTAACAAGTATCGACAGCGGTAGTGATAATTTATATATCTTGTGAATCGTGTGTCGGTTACGACGAGAACGATTGCCGCAAGTAATGAACTTGATAGTAAATCAGTGAAAAGTTATCAGCAAACGATAAACGAAATCAATAATGCGTAATGAATAGATAAGCTTCTGAAAATTCAGGAGTTTCTTATGATTTTGGGCATAGAAGATATTTAATTTTTAATCACTTTAGATTTCACAAATTCTCGCCGATGTTTTTTTCATTTACTTATTAAATTTGACCGCGTGTTAAGCTATTAATCCCTTTATATATCTTAACGTTTTATATAGAGACACGTTACACCTTAAAAATATCTTAAATTATACGTTTGGCACGATAGAAATCAATAACCGAATAATCAAAATCTCATCATAATTCCGATAATATATATGCTTCTCGCTCGACATAGAGAAGACCTAATTAATGAATCATCGGCAATTATCTCGAGGATGCAGTATCTGGAACTTGCGTTTCAGGTGAAAGGATCTATTCGAACTCTTGGAGCGTACTGTGCACGCTCATTGGTTCGGACGTACCGACATGACCGGAGAGAGAGAAATGCGGATGAATAGAAACGCGTACATACGAGGATCGTTTTTGATAAGTCCTTAGAAAGAATATGAAGATAAAATTTTTTGCAGCAAAATAAATTGTTATTTTTCAATTTTTCAATATAACTTCCCTCAAATTCAATGCACTCGGTCCAATGATGCTCAAGTATTTTTATATCTTCTATACAATACGATTTATCATTCTTCTCAAAACAGCTGTTTACAGGATGAATGAACCAAATCTATCTCCACCCAACTATTTTTCAAGTTTGGAAATAAGAAAAAAATTACAGGGAGCTAAATCCGGAGAATACGGAGTAGATGGTCAACGAAGCGTAATTCGTGCAATTTGAAATTGCAGACGTGTGCATCGTCCTGATGAAAGAGCACTATTTTCTTCGCCACATTTTTCCTTGATCGCATTAAGTTGGTCCAATAATGACGCATAATACTCTCCTGTGATGATTTCCTGTGACTTGACGTTTTTCCCGATAGACGATGAGCAATATTCCATCGCAAAAAACAGTTGCCTTGACCTTTTCAGTTGATGGAACTGTTTTTTGGCGCGCATTCATCAGGAGAAGTTCATTCTTCTTTTGTCTCTGGTGTGCGGATTCTTGTTTCATAAATGATTAGGAAAAAACGAAAAATCCTTTGGACAAATCTGTCTGAAACTTATAGAGGTTTGGTAAAACGTCAATTGTCACGTCACAGTTTGATATTAGTGGCGCCTCTCGTCTCATATATTTTCCAAGGAAAGATAAGGTAAGAACCGAAGCTCGTCCTCGCGGAAGAGGTTGCTTACCCCGTAGCCGGGGACGCGACTCCGATCATGCGTGAAATGGCTTGGCTTCAAAGTCGAGATACTCCTTTTTCCGCTCCTTCTGGGTGCTCGTTCATATTCAAAGGACTCGCATGCACCGGAGAGATTATTCAGGGCTTTGTAATAATCCGCGCAGTCCGTCGCAAGCTGCCTGGAGGGAAAGCAACACTCACGAGCTTAATGTTTTCTACATGTTAACGAGAACAAGTTGCATATCCAATATATGTTGCGAAACCAAGTGCCGGGAACGATGAGTTGCAGAAAATAATTCTTTTAAAATTAGTTCGAAATGAAAACTCTCTTTCTCTCCCTTCTTCTTTCTTTCTCTCTTTGTTTCCACCCTATGAAAATACTATTTTGCTTGACGTTTTGAAAATAAATGTCACGTTATAAAGTGTTTTCTAAATCGCAACACGTCTCTCCAAGACTTGGTGTTAGAAGTATAAGCTCAGAATAAGGGTTAGTATTCTAGAGTTAAGTGGATTGAATAATACCGATTTATGTCGTTATATTGCAAGAGAAAGGAAGTCTTCACTCGGAACATTCCCTCAAATCGACCGGTGATTGAGGGAACGTTTCTTATCCATTCTCTTTAGCGAACGACAATGTTGTTAATCGACGTTAGCGTGACGAAGCACTAGAATGCAGTTGACTGGTAATGTTCGATCGTCGGCCGCGCTTCGTCTTATAAATTATTGCGAGTGCTCGACTCCACGGGTTACCGTGGAGGTGGTCCTTCAGGCAGGGTTGCTACCTTGGAGCATAACCTGACGAATGGTATCCTGACAAGCAGCCTGTTGCGTGACCTGGACGATCAATATCTGTGCGGGCGCAACACCCGCAAGTGTTCCTCGTATCTTCGTATAAACTGACGCGCGTCTCCATCGTAAGCGTATATTCTTTTTCCTTCCTGTTTAACCTTTTCAAACTCGAAGGAGTTCTTCCGCGTATTATATGCTGCGCTTGGTCGATGAGAATTTCGATGAGAACCCCGGGAACACGATGCGAAACTTTCGAAACGGTCGTACTCGGATTTTGCTCAAATTTTCTGCGAACACCTTCTTTCTTCCCGACAGGGAGAAAGAAAAACGAGCTTCTTTACATGCCACGTGTATATGTTATCAAAGACGTTCGAAAAATAATATGTCTTTTAGATGATAAGAAGGATATCTTCGAGACGTCTTTTAGACACACGTGTAGTTTGGGCTTTTAATTTCTCTTTCGTAGTAAAATTCGAGTATGATTCTAATCGGCAATTTCTTCAAATAAGATCGTACACTTCCTCTCTCCTTTTGTGTTATCGCAAAGCAATTTCGGTTTGTTATAAAAACCACTAGACAGGTGTAAAAAAAGTGATTTATTATCGAGGAAAGTGCTGATACAAACGTGCATAAAATTGCAAAAGCAATATACTCCGTCGCAATATCGCGGCGACCGCTCGAAGATAAAAAATGGTATCGACGAAAAATGTTTTCATGAACGGGAAGTTAAGGTTTACGTGAATATAACTTTGCTGTTTTGCTGCTCACTCGCTTGCGCCGCAGATACAGCGCGACTTCGTTTAATTCCTCTCTTGTCAGATTTCAAGGAGTTGAAGGAGTTCAAGAGAAGTGTGCTTTTCATATTATACTTGGAGTACGTAGACATCGTGAAAGACGAAGTGTCCCGGTAGGAATTTTTATTAAATGCGAAGCAAAAAGGGACGGAGATAGAATGAGAGGGAGAGAGAGAGAGAGAACATTAGCGTGCGTATCTCTTTACTTAAGCTCCGTTTAATTATGCAGCTTCTTAATGGAGAAATATGGCGATATAGATGTTTGAGGAAAATCGTCTTTCGAAATTAACGATGGCACTTATCGCGTGTCATCTTGCTTGTTAATGTCATTCACGTAACGAATAAAGGGAGACAACGGATTAGTGGTGGAAACTGGAATAAACGTAAGGAAATTAGGAAAATTCTACGTGACACGGCAGATAATTTATTTATTGCACGTTAAGTGAGAACAATGAGAAAAACAGCTTGCAAATACAATATAATTCAACTTTTTAATATTTGTTAATACATATTTTGAACGAATAAAATTTCAAATATATTTTTCTAATCATTTATTGTTATATCATTTCTAAAATTTGTAATGAAAATACCGTAGACTTACAACAAGAAACTTGCCGTTTCGAAGTTTAGATATATATAGATTTATATCTATTTCTTATAAATGTCGGAAAAAGAAGATGGTCAATGCTAAATACATTCTGTAGGCCACGGTATATATTTAGCTAGCTTATTTGTTACTTTCATATCCCCGTGCTCCCGTTTTATTTAAAACACGACTCAAATGTCACCCGCGAAGGATGTCATACAGTGGTGAACTACTAAATATACCGGAAATTTCTGATTGATTTTTTCAATTCTATCTACACGTCATAAGCTCGTCATTACCTAACCTTCGATATGTCACGTAAAACAAAATTGCAATGTCTGACAAGGCATTTGTGGCATGAAATATTTTTCAAAGAAAGCAGAATCTGTGTTACTGATTATAGAATTATTAGCAGTATTCACAGTAAGCACTTCTCACTATTGTTACAAAAGAGTAGACATAGAAAATATTTCTACTATTAAACACGAATAAAAATAACCAACATTCAAAATTGGTGGAAAGTATGCTTGGAAGATGCGAAAGAATAATGGATAGCGACAACGATCGGATAATTTATTAATACAAAAGCGTTGCATTGATTGTAGTATAGTATAGTACGTGTAATTTTCTTCATTTTTTTAATAATAAATGGTTATGTCAGTCGCGCTTTTATTAGACAGACTGCAAAAGTTTACGAAGCAATTACTTTAATACTTAATTTCCAGTAAATATATTTGTGGTATTTTAGCTAATTAATCTCGTATTTTGCTCAGCCAGTATAATTATGCAACAGAACCATTTGCTCAGCGCGATCTCCTAATTGTTTTGTGC